ATGCAGTGAAGGGATCTTATTCTCTCTTCAGGTTTCAGAAAGAGTCATTCACAAAGGAGAAAATCATCAGAACCCAAGGCTATGGGCTACATGGCAGGTGTAGATTGAGGAGAAAGTGGGCAGCACTGTGTCATCAAATACCAGACTGTGAAGCCTAGGGAAGAGAATTTATTCTACTAGCCATCCATATACCCAAATCATCAAAGTTAGCCCCATTTTACCTAGTAAGATGAAGGCAGATATACCAGCCTTCCTTACTCTTCACAGCTGCTCCAAGAATCGTGAAATGGGACTTCATGAGTCAACCAGGAACACATGTTGAAAACTATAAGTCATAACTATGAGCATGGACTTTGGAGCCAGAGAGAATGGGGGAGGAATGCCTTCTGACCTGCACAGGTCATTTAACTCTGTGAGCCACACTTTGCTTATCTGTAAATGAAAGGTAGTATTTTCTTTGCAGGATTATTGCTAAAGAGCTGGAATTGTACGTGAAAACCCCTAACGAAGTGTCTGGCATATAGTTGCCAGTAAAATAGTAATTCTGATTATCATAAATATATGTGTAGATGTGTGCTGATAGGTCAAGAAATGTTCACATTATTCACATCAGGCTTCACCTTTGGGATAGTTAAACAAACAAACAAAACAGAAAAACGTTAATCAGAAAATTTTTTAAAAAACAAAACACTCCCAACATTAAATGTCAAGCTTAAAACCTACCCTACACACCAGCTGAGAGCACCAGGTCTTTAATCTCACTCTACCACCACCACTGCTGGCTCGGAGCACTCAGGGCCACATGTCAGCACCAGAAAGACTACAGCCATGACAATCCAAAAATCTGTTCCTCAACCTGGGAAATGCACGGCATTTCCTGGACCCAGACCAAAAAGGGCCAGCACACCCAGGCTGCGAGGCCTACAGAAAGGGCAGGATTTCCACTCTGGCAGCCAGAGACCCAATCTGGGAGGAACCTTACTCTGACTAAATAGATGTGAAAATGTGAGTGTATCCAGTGCAGCATTTGGACATCCTGAATCTCCCTCTCTTGCTGTTTTGTCTCTCATTAGTTATTCCTTTGAAGCCAAAGAATAATCAATCAGGACTCTTCTTAGAGCACCAGGCTCCAAGACACGCCCCCTTCCCAATTACTCTCAGAAACCTGGAGTGGAGAACTCGGCCAGCTGACTTCTGTGTTACTTCTAACCATTAAGAAACATCCACTTTCAGTCGCCTGTGAAAAGTCCCCTTAAGACTGAGTTTGGAGCTTATCTGCAAACCTCCAGAACAAGCTTTTATTTTGAACTCTGGCCTTTACCTGTGACCTTCCAAAAGCACTGTCTTCCAAGTTTGTGCTCTCCTGAAGAGTCACAGGGATTACTGCAGTCCTTCATTCTCAAGTGACATCTGTCCACACCCTTTTGCCGTGTTTTTCAAAATGTCTTTGGCGAGCATTTCCTCTGCTTCTTTTCTATCTCACTCCATGGCCAGGGTTGCGTGTCCAGACTGCCGAGCCTCTTGGCTGGTTTCCCAGGCACTAATTTCTTCATGTAATTTATTTAACCATAACCTTTGAAATACTTTTCACTTAGGTGCATTCATCAGTCACCTCTCTGTGCCAGCCCATCAGCTGATCCAGAATTCACTTCCTGATGGAATTCTGACGTGACTCAGGATCTTTCCCACATTCTTATTTCCCTCTGCTCCGTTACAGCCACTCATTGTCCTAAGGCAGCTCCATGCTTTTTCTTGCCTCTGGGTATTGTGCATGCCTTTTTCCCTACAGAATTTTGACAAAGTTTTCCTAAAATGCCAACGCCTATATCACAGCATCTGTGTCCCTGCTTTCAAGTGGTTATATGTGACTGGTACAGAATATCTTTGCTGGACTGGAGGTAGATCAGGCCCTTTCAAATGCAATACTATTTTATAAATAAACCAATTTTCTTTGTTTTAAATTTATTAAAAAAAACTATTAAAAGGAAAAAAACACCAGATAATCCAATTAACATTTTTAAAGTAATATTAACATAACGTTATTTAATCTTCCTAACAACCCAATAAGGTAATAACTCTGAGATATGTGTGTGTATGTAAATGTGACATACATATGTGATACATATATGTGTAATATAATATTTTGTCCATATTGAACATGTACAGACTTTTATTCTTGTCGCTATTACTTAAAAAGTACAGTACAACAACTATTTACATAGCATTTACATTGCACTAGGTATTATAAATAATCTAGAGATAATTTTAAATATATGCAAGGATGTGCATAGGTTATATGCAAATTTACACAATTTAATATCAGACACTTCGGCATATGCACATTTTGGTATCTGAGGGGTTCCTGGAACCAACCCCTTAGATGCCAAAAGAAGGACAACAGTATACACACACACACACACTCACACACACACGTATACATATATACACACACATGCATGTATACACACACATATATGTATGTGTGTATATATACACACATATAAATTCAAAGGGACAGTTAGGTTACGTAACTGACCAGTCACTTGGGTAGAAATTCATGGTGTGCTGAGAATAAATATAAATATTGATCCCATCTTTAAAGATGATTCTATTCCAAATGCTAAAGATTTGGTCCGGTGACTCAAAAAAAAATTCCTGACCTAATTTTTTTTTCTTTTAGAACCTTTGTCTCCCTGTGACATCCAGGCTTCAGAAAGGGGGAATCGCACCGTGAAAATCAGAGCTCAGTTCTAACACCTCGCTTAACGAACACACCGAGCAGAACGCACAACTCCATGTGGCGTCCTGTTGAAGGTAACGTTTCCTGTGGCTTCCTTTCATCATTTTCCTGGAGAGTCATCTTCTTAACTGCAACTAACATTCTGGATATCTGGGGCCCAGTGCCTGGGCCTTTCTATGGCCATTTCTTACTTCCGCAATTTTGTAAAAGTACCAAGGTCAATCCATCTTTTGCAGATGATAGGTTGATTCATTAACACTTCCCAAATGACTCTAGCCGCCTGAGAACACAGAGGGCCATGTATAATAAATAAAAAACATGTTTTCATGGTGATTTAATGTCATCATGATTGTTTTTAATGAAATCACACCTGGAAAAATTTTGGAATATCAAATCCTTAGATGTAGAAATGGTTTCCTCCCCAAGGGCTACCCTCTCACAATGTCACCATGAGTCATAAACAGCCTGGCTCAGAAGAACAGGAAGACATTCCTTTTACAGCTGTAGTCACCCACTGCTCCTGAGGAAGCTGGCAGCCTGAGCCCTAGAAGAACCTGCCAGAAGCCTGGAGCTGCAATTCAGTGGCTAGTAGTTTGATTTTAAAAGGCAAAAGTCTTTCAAAATAGCAAATAAGCACATTCCTGGCTCTGTTCCTGTCATAGGGTGCAGAAAAGTTTAAGGGTTTGTCAGGATGGAGTAGAGATAATGATACCTGTTTTAGAGCATGGAACATACAGATTGTGCTATAGGCCACTTCAAGGAAGGAGGGAGAAAGGGAGGGTGGATCCCACAGGGCTAACAAAACGAAGGCTGAAATAGAAAAGAAAAGAAGGGGAAGAGAAAGGGAGAGAGGAAAACCAACAGTGGTATGATCTTCCCATCAGTATTTTAAGAGGTTAATAAAATGTGGTCAAATTCTCATTTCAAGCACTGGACACTGCACTGTGAAAGGCTCTAACAGATGCCTCCACTCCGACCTCAGGGTAACCCTGCCTTCTTGGGCAACCTACTATTTCTTTTAGACTGACTAGATGAAGTCACACATGCCTGAAGAAATGATTCCATCACAATGTGATAGGGTAAAACATTTTTCTTTCTAGAAGGTTGGTACGGCCACTCAGCCAGCAGACACTTCCCAATAGGAATTGAGAAAGGTGTAGCTGTAACGTGAATGTTCAAGTGCTTCATCTGTTTGCTCACTGGTTGAGAAAGAAACTGGGCTTGATGCCAGGCTACAGAGATAAGGAGAACTCAAGTAAGTGCTCCTCTACTGGGGGTGGCAAATAGGAAGTAAAATAATTACAGTGCTTTGGGACAAATGTTGTGAATGGATAAGTGTCAAGGGAAATGGGAACCCAGGAAAAGCAATCCCTGATGCTCTGGGGAATGGATGGGAGGCTTAACAGGGCCGGAGTTCATAGACCTTGAGACTTCAGTGGGAGTCTCCCAGGTAAACAAAGGGTGACGACGGGCAGGGTGTTGATGCAGTGAAAGGGAACAGGAGATCAGGTGGGAAATGCATGGAAGGCCTGGTGAGTCACGAGCAGATGATTGGCTTTTAGTTCCAAGGCCAAAGGAGACCATGAAGAGTTCTAGGGAGGGAAATGACAGGATCGGATCTGTGCTTTTGAAGGGCTGCTGTGCTGGGAGCATGAGTATCGGTCCTGGGAACACCCAGCCTGCAGTTGTTCCCTGACATCTGCGCAGGGTCCACCCAGGATGGGATTTGAAGGTGGCTGTGTCAGTATTCACAGCTCTTCACCTGCCTCTAACTCTCCAAAGGGCTGAGTCTTGTATTTTCTAGACCACCGCTTTAGAGGCAGGTGGGAAAATTGGAGTGGGAAACAGAGGAGGAGGACTTGAGCCTTGTGGTTAGATTGCTTCAAAAGATAAAGTCCTGAGTGAAATAACTTTTCTTGTAAAGGCAAAAAGAAAGGCTTCTGGATGCTGGGCAGAGAGGTAGGCTCTTTGGTGACACAGGAGAGCAGCTGAGGAGAGAGCTACAGGAAAATCCTAGGAATGTGAGGAACGGTGATGGTGATGGGGAGGGAAGGGAGTTCTTACATGTTGCTATGACCCAGTTACTGTCATCTGGTAGAGAATGGAGCTTCCTAGTAATTACTTTTGCAAATCACGCTGTACTATATGACCCTGATGCCCTTGGAGACTGAATTATGTATGCTACAATGTTTTAAAAAGTTGCAACACATATCATTTGAGCAGGCTTATAAAAGAGATTGCCAAGCCAGAGTTTACATACCGGCTGGTTTTTGTCTCAGTGACTCTTCACCAGCTAGTTCCTGTTCATGAAGACTCTGAAAAGAACATTTGAGAAAGTTGTTAATGCTAGAGAAGTCTTTTCACCATGGTTCCCTGCTTAGATAGCCCTAAATGTTGGAGCTGAGCTTAAGGCTGCAGATTTCGGGTCAGCACCATGTGCCCCGTGGATGCCAGGCAACTGCAATGAAATGGTTTGGAAAATGAAGTAGAGTTGCTACTGTAGTGTGACCTAGGAATTCATTTTTTTTTAGACCAGTCTCTAGAGCAAGAGCAGAAGAAATCACCATATCTGACTTTCTCAGAGTTCCTATAGGTTGAATCCTCTCAAGAAATATAAATGATTATAATGTTCTAAACTTGTACTTTCTGCCTGACTCGAACGATGAATCATCCCAGTGACCTTCAAGACAAGTCTCACGACCTCCTTCTTAGCACTCAGCCTGTCCCCACCTCAATTTTTCTGCTGTAGTAGGGCTCTTTAACCATTGAGTGTGCTTAGAAATTATTTCTTCTGCTTCTGATCCTTTTTCTCCTGGATGGTTCTATTGCTGGTTTCTGTAGTAGGAACTAAGAGAGCCTGCCCTAGAGTCAGACTGCCTGGGTACAACAGTGTGCCACTTACTCTATGGCTTTGTGACTTTGGAGAAGTTACATATTCTTGCTGAGCTTTAGGGTTTTATTTTTCCTGTACCATGGGAATAATAACAGTATCAACTTTATAGGATTGTTATGAGAACTAAGCAAACTACAGTATGGCATACAGTGAGCTCTTAATACAGTTTAGCTATTAAGACACCGTGCTGTGACTAAAAGTAAGGACTCTGCAGACATTGAGTTCAAATCCTAGCTCCATCATAAAATTACTGTGTGACCTTGGGCAAATTAGCTAACCTTTCTGTGCCTCAGTCCTTACCTACCGAATGCAGATGAATATAGCTTATCACAGAACGTTGTTGCGAGAACCAAATGTTTAATTGATGCAAAGCACTGACAGTAATTTTGGTTATATGGCAAATGCTATTCGGAGAGGGGTCATCAAGGTGTTCTGGGGCATCATGCTGCACCTGCCACCTGGTGCACTTCTGTGAAGTTCATCTCCTTCATCATGTAGTTTTTTTGTTAAAGAATAAGCATTGATCACTTTCACTCATGGGCTCACCACCAGTTCTGCAGCTGGTAACAGAGCCTATCCCATACCTTGACCTGACATGGATTTCCTAGCTCGTCCCTGCCTGCCTGCAAGTTTTCCTGTGATGTGCTTTCCACCTCAAACTCCCTTCACACTCCACAGAAAAGCCCCGCCTCTCTGAAGTCTCCCAGATAACCCCTGCCCACAGAGATCTGTGCTTTACCACAAACTCTACATGTCCATGACCGCCACCTGGGGCAGAGCTCATTCTGCCATCAGGGTTGTCTACCACTATTTTCTAGGTATCTCACATCATCACAATGACAAACATAATACTTCCTAAGATGTATTTAACATCCTGTGCCGGGACAATCTAAGAGGTAGATGCTGTTATTATCCACCTTTCACTAATAAGAAAGTACAGGCACAGAGAGGTCCAGTAACTTGCCTGTGGTCACACAGACTTCAATGGCAGAGCCAGGATTCAAACCCAGCCAGCTCCAGAGTCTGCACTTGTCGACATAGGCACTGCATCACCTTATCAGCAGAGACCTGGGAAACTGGCTTTGTCTCAGAGAGCCGGTCTCTCTACCCAGCACTGCTTCTCTCTCTGTCTCTATAACCTCTTTCTATTCCCTCCTCCGTTCCAGTTAATAGTTCCCTTGGCTGGTCTCCCTCCTCTTACTAAGTTACATTTTTAGGAAAAGATCAGAAGTCAGCAATTTACCACTCAATGTTAGGTTTACCTGCTCCCCTTGCTGATGCCCTTAGGAGGTACTGGTTGAGGAGTGTATTAAAGTCAGTAGGAAATGGGGAGGGACTATGCACTTGATAGTTCATAAAAGTTCTTGAATAAATTAATAGAGGAATGATGGATGATGATTGGAATTTCAAAAGCCCAGTTGCTGCTTTATTTACAGGGAAGTTATTTTAGAGGTACTTGAATGCAGGAACTGAAGGTGCAAAGTCAATGTATAGGGCTGGTTCCGGCCCAGCTTCTCCTAGAGAATGCTTTGGCTTTGTTCCCAGGCAAAAGGAAGGTTCTCCCTGCTTTCCTGCCTCCATCCTCTCTGGTGCCTGGTAGGGAGGAGGGAGTGGCCACTGGGAGCTTTCTCTGTTCACACTTCAAGGCAGCAGTAAGAGGACTCAGTTAGCACAGGAGAATATGACCACCAGTGGTCACCTTTGGGCAGCTCTCCCAGGTCGAGTTTTCATTCTCTCTGCTTTCAATAGGACTAAAGCATTGAGGTCTTGCCTCTTGTCTTGTCAGTTACGTGTTAAAATCAAGGTATATTTCAGTTCTTTCATGCAGCAATTCTCTCATCTCTCTGTGAGAATAGGATCGCTTGTCTCCACTGCCCCCAGTGTGATTCAGTAGGTCTGGGGTGAGGTGCAGGAAACCACCTTTTCAACCAGCGCATCTGTTGACATGAGTCCATCTTTTGGAAATACTACTTTTTGAAGATTTCCTGAATCTTTATAGTGATCATCTGGAACTTTCAGGGCACATCTTTGCAAAGTGCTGCTTCCACAGCTCACAGCTCTGTTACCTACAGCCTCTTTGTTGTCCAATGAGAACAACTTACTTCTTATTTTAAGCCCTGCAAACATCAGAGATGATGGAGGAAAAAGCACACTGATGGCAATAAAGCCCTCTGAGGAGCTGGTGTGGAGATGGGTTCAAAAGCCCTTGACCATCCCCAGATTCAAGGAGGTACAAAGAGCTGGCTACCAAGTCACAGGACCTGGATTTGAATGGAGCAAATGGTCACACCAAGAACTGAATCCCACAGTCTCAGATTCTCAGGAGAAGTCGTTCACTCCCTCTAATCCTCTGTTTCTTACATTATGAAAAATACTAAGTGCTGAGGCACATCGGGTGCTCAGTGCAGTCTCTGGTTGTGGTGTATGCAGTGTTATCTGCTGGCCTGGACTCACTGGGGACCAGCCTTACCATCCTGAGTCCTCATGTCATCCCAGTTTGGGGAACTGTGGGACTCCAGCACTTGCCTTTTCTCTCACACTTTGGGTGCTGGGTAGAACTCACAAGGGAGCATAGGCTTGCCAGGGCTCCCAGTGCTCGGCAGTGTGTTTACTTCAGACAAGGAAACAGAGCTTCCAATTGGACCTCCCCCTGCCTGCTCCATCTGTGTAAAGGTGTCCAGAGGACTGTCTGATCCACAGTGGACAGTGCTGTCCAGAAGGAATTTCCTGAAGGCCAAGCTTCAGCCGGAAAAGACAAGGTCACCAATTCCAGGAAGTGCCCCACCTGTCGGACATGATGACTTCACACATAATTGTTGTGGCAGTGGGGCAGGGAGCCTGGAGTGGAGGTAGGTAATCAGTCAGGAATGAGAGATGGCTTTTTATTCATGAAGAAGAAAATTCCCAGGGAGCAGGATGGCAAACGAGGTGATAAGCAAAGGATCCTGCTTTCCCAAATCTTACCCCTACTCACTCGAGCCCTGCCGTATACCTGAAACCTCCAATTTAACATCTTTTCTACTGTGTTAGAAAACTGTCTGAGCAAGAGTCCTCTAGCAGTATCTCCTCACGTAAGTATATTTAGAGGGGTTTATTTATATTCAAAGTAATTGCAAAAGCTGCAATTACTTGTGCACCAGCCTAATACTAGAATGTTAAAAATAACTGCAAATTCATAAGCACTTGGGCTCTGTGCTAGTCACCGTGCTGCGGCTTACATGTAGGACATTTAAGCCTCACAACAAACAAATGAAGGAGACATGATTTAGTCTTATTTTATGTGGAGGAAAGAGGCTCAGGGAAATGAAGAAAGTTGACAAAGTTTCAAAAGGTAATGACAGTCAAAGCTGGGCTTCCACTCAGGCCTGATGTCAAAGTTGAGTATGCACAGCCTATAACTCTAAGAGTGGTCACTGGAGCATGAGCCAGGGCACCATGTGTGAAAGCCAACATCCTGGCCCCACCCAAGCATACTGAGCTAAAATCTGTACTTTAGCGAGGTCTCTGGGCAGATCTGTGCACACGTGAAAGTTTGAGAAGCACTGGGCTACATCATCACACTTTAAAAGGCCTTCACCCCACATGTGTATATTCATGTTCATAGGCACATTATTCACAACAGCCAAGAGGTAGAAGCAACTCATGTCCATGGATGGATGAATGGACAAACAAAATACAGTACATATATACAACAGGACATTATTCAGCCTTAAAAAGGGAAGAAATGCTATAATGGATAAACCCTGAGAACAATATGCTAAGTGAAACAAGCCAGACACAAAAAGACAAATACTCTATGATTCCACTTACATGAGGTATCTAGAATCACCAAATTTGTAGACACAGAAATTAGAATAGTGGTACCAGCAGCTGTCAGTGCGGGAGGAAATGAAGAGTTACTGTCAAATGGGTATAAAGTTTGAGTTTTGCAAAATAAAAAAATTATGGAAATTAGTTTTATAATAATGTGAATATACTTAATACTACTGAACTGTATGCTTGAAAATGGTTTTAAGACATTAAATTTTATGTTAGGTGGTTACCACGATTTGAAAAAACCAAGCCCATCACTACACGTTGCATATATATTGCATTTAAGATGGTAGAAGGTCAATCATGGAAACTGAGTGGCAGCTTAGGGCAGTGTAAACTGATCAGGCAGCCTCAAGCACACTTTTCCAATGGGAGTCCTCAGCCTTTGGGTTATATGAAGGCATTATACCTTGAAGGATAGATCTAGCAAGGAAAAGTGGGGTCTTCCAGGAAGATGGAGTTCACATTCCACCAAGAGCCCTTGGAGGTCAGCTTCCCCTGACCAGCCTTCACCACCAGGTAGATGAAGGGGCTTTGCCAGGGCCATCACTAGGAGGGCAGATGTGGCACAGAGGGCAGGCACTGCTGCAGCCAGTAGCACTAAGAAACACTGGAACAGAGCAAAGTTGACCCCATTGCTGAGATAATCTCAGGTCCTGGCTTTTACCTCACCTACCTTGGATAGCCAGAGTTCTGCACTGCTATGTGAATTCGCAAGAAGCTTTAGTGTTTCCCTCCTCTGTTTAGATGGGCAGGCTATTGTGTGTGAGCGTATAGGTTGTACCCTGCATACTGGAGTTTGGAAGAGGTGACACACCATATATATCCCCCAAGTCATGAGAGAAATAAAGAAAAGACAAAGATAACCTAGGTCAAACAATGAAAGAAACAAAAATGGAAATAGGAAGAAAGCGCGTAGCCGGGAAACAAAATCCTAAAGGTAAGATCAAGCATTTTGAAAATGATATCAAATGGTAATAAATGATGCAAATTTACTTGCTTAAGTTTGATTTAAAAGAAAAAAATCAAACACACATTGTTTACAAGGGAATGATAAAGTGGGATATAAAGGCTTAAAAAAATAAAGGACAAAAATCAAACAAGCACACAAACAAAAGCAGACATGACAACTGGAATAGCAGACAAATAATTAAATTATAACATACAAAGTAGGGCAAAGAGGGACATTTTATCATGTTAAAAATGTACCAGTGAAGCTCTAACAACAGTGACTGACAAAAAAATAGAACTGAAACATCTGAAACAAAAAAGTGGAAAATACCATTACAATAAGAGAAATAATAACAGCAAACACTTATATAACATTTATTATGTGCCAGACACTGTTCTAGGGCATCTTAGGGTATAAACTAATTCCATTTTCATAACGATCAAAGAAAATCAGTACTACTATTAGTATCATTTTACAGATGAAGAAATTGAGACAGAGAGAATTACATCAGTCTCCAAAGATTTCCAATGAGGAACATGCCCTTTGATGCAGGGAGAAGTCTAAGTAAGGAATAGCCCGAAAATTTCCGGAATAAGAGGGTACTTGTCCTTCCCTTTACTTACGCTAAACTCTCATTAACTTTCCAAAGACAAAAACACCTGGATAATTTGTCAGCAAAGGTCTTAGATGATGTCTATGGTCCCTTCAGCTGTATCAGTCTGTGATTGAGACACACACAGAGATTAATGTCTTTTGGAGCATGTTCTAGTCTGATAAACCAGTTAGAATGAATCCTTTGAAAACATACATTCTGCTCAATCTTTCAAATCTGTTTTGTTGTTATTGTTGTGAGTTTCACAGACTGGACACCTCAGGCCTACTGATTGCAATCTAGTGAAGGAAGGAAGCCTGGGAGGTTTCTCTTGAAGTTACATTGATGTTCCCTTGACACCACTACTTATTTCAGAGCATAGCAAGTGGTCGCCCAGCAAATACACTGACCTAGGTTTATATTCACCTCTTCTCCTCATTTGCAACATTTTTTCTTATGTTGCAATTATGGGAAGAGTTTTCTTCTCTCCCTAAACGTTTTTCTCCCTAAACTTTTTAAAAGAACCATTGTCATTCTGTAACATTCCCAATAAACTGAGAAATGTGACAAGAAAAATTATAGCAGATATGGGTGTACTCACCAAAGGATGAATAGTAGATTCAGAATTCCAGTTCAGTGTAGCTTTGGAAGAATAAATCACAATAAACATGAGGCACAAGGTGGTTCTCCTTGGGGATTTCATGTCTTCAAGTTTGAGGTGGTTGGGCTGAAATGGAAATATGATGGTTTAGAAATACAGCAATTTATTTCTTAATCAAGGAAAGAACTCTCAAGCCCTGTCTTGAAGGTCATCCTACACGAGAACCTTTTCAATAGAGAGAGAAAAGGAAGGAGGAGCACGAAGGAAATAACTTAGCATTCTCCGCCCAGACCTTTGGGTGATGATCATGTTAGGATAACGGGGGTTGAGAGGCTGAGAATGGTACATGTAAACAGGAAAAGGTAGCAGATGCATGTGTAAGAAATATTTTAAACACTGTCATCTAGTACACATAAGTTATGAACAAAAAAACTGAATAGGGAACACTTCAGTTTTGCTACATGCAATGTACTTTGGTATTTTCAATTCTATCATAAAGTATCTTACCCCATTTTTAATTTAATTCTGGTAGCAACCCACTGAATGGACTTAATGACCCATATTAATAGACTGATCCATTAGTATGAAAACTGCTGGACTTGGTTATAAAAATGTAAGTTGTATCTTATAGTATCGTTTCATATTATAATGCATACTATGGAATATTAGTATCATTATATATCTCATCTTATTCACTGATTGTTTTTAAATTTTTCATTTTATTTTATTTCTATTTTTTGAGACAGGGTCTCACTCTATTGCCCAGGCTGGTCTTGAACTCCTGGCCTCAAGCAATCCTCCTGCCTCAGCCTCCCGAAGTGCCAAAATTACAGACGTGAGTCATCATACCTGGCCTTATGTATTGATTTTTGAAAATTCCCTTTATAATGCTGATGATAACAGCTTCTTGGTGACCAGATTAATCATTCTTGCATTTAAAAAGTATGGCGTCACATGGAATAATCTCGACCCTAAAAGGTCTGGGGACCAAGGCAATCTACTTTGTGCACACTCCTCTCCTAATGGCTTTTCTATGCCCATGTGTTGTTGTCAAAAGAATGCTAGACTAAGGGACACAATGTATGGTTAGGATCCGGGATTACTAGAAACTGTGTCCTTGTGTAAGTCATTGTCTTCTCTGAGTCCAAGTTTGCCCGTCTCTAAAATGGAAATAATTGTACCACCCCTAATTCTCTCTCACAGTTTTCTGAGACTCAGATGAGATTAAAGACCATGAAGAACTCCAGAAATGCAGGCTGCAATAATTATTATTCTGATTGTCAATATAATCCAGAAAGCAACCATCCAGAAGGGAAGGCTTTGGCTGCATTGTTGCAGGGAGCACCAGGAAAGCATGGCCAGGATAACACACTGATGATAGGCAAGGTTTACATGCCAGGGAAAATCGTATTTCAATCGCCAGCTGCCAATGGCCACCTTTTCCTCTTCCTCAGTGGAAAACTGGAAAACCGATCCAATTTGCAAATTTGACAATCAAACACATTTTTTAAATTCTGAAACTCAATGGTTTGGGGGAAATGCTTTGCACTTTAGGTTATAGCAATTGTTTAAGACCAGATGCCTCTGCTGTGGGGAAATCAAAGCAATGCCCTGCTTAATTTTCTATTGGAAGTTTTCTCTCCCTTATTGAAAGATGGTGTGACTTTGTGGGTATTGAACAGGCTAATATAGAATGAGTCAGGTATTTGAGAGGCAAAATAGTTTTTTCAGGCTCCAACCTAGTACGTCATACTAATTGGTTCCCTACCTAGGCAGTTAATCAAGGAGAAGAGACTTAGTAACTGAATAGTTAATGAGCCTCCCTTCGAATCTGATAACCCAGGAAGGACTCACATACTAGAAGGACTAGAGCTGGCTCCATATCTTTCTACAGTTTCCCAATGTCAGCAGTGCATCCTTTTGTTTGGTCAGAGTTAGCAAGAATTCCAATGTTCCCAAACAGTCATGTCTGGCCCTTTGTATAGGCCATTGGCCAATACTGTCCCCATCTTCCCCCACCCTCTGCCTCTGCTGAGACAATTTTGGATAAATTAACATCCTTATTTATGTTGACTCATTTGTTGACAACAAGATCACAAGCCAAAAGAAATGGAGATGTAGGAAGGACCCCACCACGGGGAGGAGGGTGTTCTCTGGATGCAGAAGGTGACATACAGTCATCAGTTACACAGCAAAGGTCAAGGATTCTTCAGTCAAAAGAAAGGTGAAAGCCACTACGTTGAAAGAAAGAAAATAGTCAACATATTTGACAACCAGTATGGCATGGACCTGAACTATGGGAACAGAGATACCAGCTGAAATTCACCTCAGCTTTAGGGGTTGCTGTCACACCTGGATAGAGACCTGAAGACAAACTTTTCTTTAGCCCACATCATTAATCGTACAAACCTTCCAGCTCACAGGTATCTGTACCTGTAAGGAAGCAAGTAAAAACCGTATAACCTAGGCAATGGGGGGAAAAATCCTATATTCAAGGCAATTTGTCTTCAGTGGGGCCCCTCTATTGCTAAATTCCCTAAAAGTTCATATTTCTTCTAAAATTCCTGGAGTAAATGTCAGACAAAGACTGTGAGACAAAGCGAGAAACAGAGGCAGAAAGAGAAAGAATATGAACAGATGTCATTCCCAATCTCCCTCTATTTTTAAATTAAAATCTAGGATGCTCTCTACTAAAACTCACCAACCTGTGTGAGCCAGCTATTTCTTAGAAAAGCTGGGAAATATGACCTAGCCCTCAGTATTAACCTTGTGGCTATGAGCAACTTCCTGGTCTCTTCTGAATCCATTTTCCTGTCTGTGAAGTTAGAAGAGAGGGAGAGGAAAATAAAGCACAGCCTGACATCATATGCCAGGAATATGTCATCAAGGTTCTCAGCAACACTGCACCTGGAGGATGAATGGTCTGGGTTCCTTGAAGCCACCATTAATGACGTTCTCTTGCAGAGTGATTTGTGCACCAGGAACCTTCACTGTGGAACTGGCCTGTTCTCACATCTCTTAGAAACAGCCAGTGCTGGCTGGGTATGGTAACTCATGCCTTTCAATCCCAGCATTTTCAGAGCCCAGGGAGGGAGGATCACTTGAAGCCAGGAGTTCAAGACCAGCCTGAGCAACAAAGTGAGATCCTGTATTGTACAAAAAAAAAAATTTTTTTTAATTAGCTTAGTGCAGAGGCATGCACCTAGCTACTCAGGGGTCTGGGGTGGGAAGATGGCTTGAATCCATGAGCTGTGGAGTTCAAGCCTGCAGTGAGCTATGATTTTACCATTCTAGTTAAGCCTGCACCACAGAGCAAGACCCTATCTCTCTAAAAGAAAAAAAATAATAAATAAATAAACAATAAGAAAACAATCAGTGCTTAAGATCAACTCTTCTGTTAGAAATCCGTCATCAGCCCTGAGATCAGAAAACTCGGCCCAGAAAGAGCTAAGTGTAGCTCTTTCTAGGTAGGTAGGAGCTGAATCAGTCAGAACTCCAAGAGATCTACCAATGATTCTCAAAATTTTAGCCAATTGGAGCAACCACGTATGATAGGATTATGGGTAATAACTGCTGGTGTGAGAATGACTGTAGGAGCCCAGCCTTAAGGGGTGCTCACTATGTTCTAGACCTGCTGCTGAGAACAGGAGCAAGGGTTATGCAAGGGTTATGCCGTCTAACCCTCTCAAGAAGCCTCTGATACTATTAAATTACCCCCACTTTTCAGATATGGAAAACAGAAGCTTAGATGGATGACTAATTCACTGAGACCACACAGCTGATATATGGTAGTGGCAAAATTAGAAACAAAGCAGTCTATTCCTCTGAGAACAAGGTGCCATTCGAGCTAAGAGATCTTCTTGGTGGGAAATTAACCAGCACTTTGGGAGGCCCATGTGGGTAGATCATCTGAGGTCAGGAGTTCAAGACCAGCCTGACGTGAAACCCCGTGTCTACTAAAAAAAATACAAAAAATTAGCTGGGAATGGTGGCAGGTGCCTGCAAACCCAGCTACCTGAGAGACTGAAGCAGGAGAATCCCTTGAACCCAGGAGGCAGAGGTTGCAGTGAGCCGAGATTGAGCCATTACACTCCAGCCTGGGCAACGAGTGAAACACCATCTCCAGAACACAAAGAAAAACTTTATAGACACCTGACCAGGCAACTGGAAAGAAACTTCTAGCCTCACTTTGCCACTAATTAGCTGTGTAATGTGGGGCAAGTCACTTTATCTCTCTGAGACTGTTTTCTTATCAGTAAAATCCAGGGGTTTGACTGCACTCAATGATTTCAAAATTGGGATGCAGGAGTTGGTTTCTTCAAGTCTTCTATTACTATTCTAAAAGTCTAAAATTCTTCAGTCATTTCTACTCAAATGCAGCCTCATTCAGGTTAACTTCTGAGACTGACTGTAACTATCTTGCATTTATCCCCCTACCTCTGACTTACTACACAATCCAGGCTTTCACTGCCCCTCATGTATGCCATAGCAATGGCCTCCTTTCTTTATTTGTCTGCTGTCTCTCTACAGAGATGCAAAATTGATTTTCCTCAAGCACTCTTCTCACAACATTCCCTTTTCAATTTTTCACTGCTTTCAGAATAAAGGAAATCACTTTCACTGATCCTTAAGGTTCTCCTTAAGGATCAGTGAAAGTGACTTTATAAGAGTGAGCATATGTAATAAACATCTCTAATATTTTCACTACCAAAGTCAGTTGCTTTTTCATACGCTAAAATAGTGCAAGATATTTTCCAGTGCTCATGCGAAAGTAAAAATGCCAAGTCAATCTTTGAGAGTTAATTTTGGGGGTGGACAGGAGCAATTACTGTCAAACAATTTTCCTGTGTTTGGGAAAATCAAAATAATCCTGCCATTTATTTGTTTTAGGAATCCTCATCTTTTTCTGTCCCTTAGCCCCAGAACAATCACTGCATATTCAGATTCTATCCATCCTTCAATGTCCAGGCAAAGGGCTTCCTCGCAGATGAAGGTTTCCGGATCTGTCCAGTTATAAATAGTCTCTACTTCCCCTGAATACCTACACACACTTAGTCTAGGCCCTTAGCCTTCCTGCTTGTATTATATTTATGGTTATAAATATTCCATGAAGTAAAACTATTTAT